CAACAATCGAGTGAAAATTGTTCGTAAGCAAACGACCGGATATACACATACGATTTGTTTTCACAGCTAAGTTGAGAAACACCACAACACAACACTACAACCACGTCTTCCCGAGAAGACGTGATAAATTTAAGTCTTTGAAATATTTACTTATCAATACACAAGGGTACTAATTGTTATATTATAAGTTTATTTATATCACAGAATATTATGTTTAAATACAATATTAAAAAATTAAATGCACATTATTTTTTAAAATCGATTAATTTTTGTTTCGGTAAGAATTTTCATTCCCGTACTATAATAAACCAATCTCAATTCGGCATGTTAAAAACTCGCGTGTCTCATAATTTGAGTAATTGATGGTAGGTAATACCCGAATTCAAATACTTACTGCAAGAACTTCATTTTAAGAATCAAGACTTAACAGGCGTGCATCGTAAAATACAACAACGCTTGAGAATGATGACTGTACAATGTAGTTACGTAACAAATTACATAGTTACGTGTCGACGAATCGTCCAACGGGAATATTATACGAACCGCTATGTGTATGCATCCGGTCAGGGGCTGATTGGCATATCGAGAGTTAGTCGTCTTAGAAAAAAAACAGTTGTCCACAGCTGGCTCGAGTTCTGAGTTTCTGACACGTTACAAGAACTGTATGATTTACTTAGGGACGTTTTTATACACGGAAACGATTTGATTAGAAACGAAAATATCATAAATCATAATATTGTCACGAGATAAAACCGATTTCTTAGTTATAACTTCTGTAGTTCATATAGGCTATGACAAACATGCGTGTATTTTGCTTCTGTTTTTACTGACCACCATTATGGTGATTCGAGAGTTTTCACGTTTATTTATTAATTAATGGTACCAACGAACTTAAAGATGTGTTGTTGTTAAAACTACGTGGCAGTTTGAGTTAACTTTGAAGTTATAAAACATTAAAAAGTTAAGATATAAGATAAGATGAAAACACGAATGTTCTTTCGTTTATAAACGAAAGTAATAGTTAAAAAATCGACAGTTTTTTTTTTTTTGGTTACATAGTGAGTCCTGAAGAAAATTATGAACCACGACATTCAAACATAAAACATGTAAATTTCAGTATCTTATTATTACGTGTTCGTTATTATACTGCCTTATATACTTTAAAAAATAGGTATAGATTAAATCAACGTCAAAAGAACACGAAGATTAAAAATTTAATTATTTGGAAGTTCTCAATTAATTTTTTTAAAAATCATTTCATTATTAACAATTGTTTTAATTTTAGTATTATGTGAATAAAAATATTTAGATTAATGACGATGCTAGTTAAAGGTTTACCCGAATAATCACGTCGTAATAAAAGCTCAAGTAAATATGAATGATTATAGTGTACACTATTTTTGATTTAATATTTTCATTACATTTTACACTATAACTATATAGGTGCAACAATATCTACATTTCCAAAACAAATGAAACCTCCTTCGGACCACTTGAATTCTCGAGCATTATTTCAAATTTCAACTTCAGCAACAAGTCACTCATAATTCATATACTATTTAATTGGAATTGAAGAGATGATAAGACTGTTCAAAATTTTACATCTTATGTTTTTGTTTGATGTTATATTAGTATGAGAAATAATTAATTTGTACTTTGTATACTCTCATATCTACAATAAGTTATACCATATATAAAAACCATGTTTACTACTTAACGTCAAAGAATATAATTTATGTACTAAATCATATTGTTTACACATTTAAAAAAAAAATTAGATTATCTGATGATCCGGTATTTAATTATAATTATTATACTTTATACTTTATAAGTTATAACCTACCAACGATTCTTTTTAAAAATTAAAAGTTAAATGTTTTTATAAACACACATAATTTATACGAAGGAAAAAGATTAGAACATTTATACTTATAGTCATAAACAGACAAATTGAAATTAACAACATAATGATAAAATATTTGCAGTCATTAAATAGAAGTACATCGTTTTCGAAAGGATAATAGTAAGTATACGTTCTCCCCCCCCCCCCATTCGATTTAAAAATTAAAAAACGAAAACAATCTGCTACACAAAAAAAAAATAAAAAAAAAACGATAGTCATTATACAAATTTAAAAATGTTAAAATTGATATTATAGTAACAAAATCGTGGAAGTTTTTAATAAATATAAAATTTGTAAGCGATTATGCTTTTTTCAGAGGTGAACTTGTAAACCATATTATAATATCGGGAAAACATAAATTATAGTGATCATTAATCCGAGTACTTATGTAACTTAATTTAAAACAATGTTTTTTGTTAGAAAAAAGTATATCTGTACAAGTAATGGACAACGAATTTATGAGCCACATCCATGTTTTTTATAATATTCTGCACGAAATAGATAACAAAATAGCTATTTATACAAACATCTGATATTATAATATTATATTATACCCTTTTTGTTACGTTTATAGGTAAAGTTAGGTACTTATGAAATTTTTAGAGTTATTCCATAAAATGAATAAAATGTCAAAATGATGACCACTTGTGCTACCTACATAATTAATCTCCCGGTGTTCATTATGCACATAATTATATTCTAAGTACTTGGCTAGTTGGAATTTGAATTGCACATTTGAAGATGAGAGGTAAAATAAATCGGATTCGAATAAAAAGCTGATGCATGCTAAGAAAACTATTAAATTGCGTATAAATTATGGTATATTTTATTAAGCTTCGAATGCTATAGGCTATTAGAGATATTTTTTCAATGATATATGATATTATTGCATATTATTATAATATTATTATATTACTTAATAACGATAATAAAATAAATATACTGTATATAGGCGGAAGCAGATGAGCGATCTTGAACTTTTCTATTCGCTCATCCTATTGCCAACGTTCAAACAAAAATTTAGCAAGCATCTATTTCTGACGTTATTATAGGATTGGTATATCTATATATAAAGATATTAATTAATTGACCACCGTTTATGCATCACGGCTTCGTAAATATATATCACACGAGATATGCTAGTATACTACCAATTTACGCCACCACCGTCCATATATATATTTATTATAATTTATAATATAATAGTATAATACAATGTGTATGTATAAAAAAAGGATTGATCTAAAATACGATGTTTTTCGTATTAGATACAACCGTTGTATAACATGAGAATGTGATTCGTGTCGTATGTGATTTTTTTTTCGTTACCGTGTATACCCCTGCTCCTCTATACATTGGACCAAAACCAATAAAAGTGCATCGGGCGCGGTTGCCAAAAAAAAAAAAAAAATAAATATTATACATTAACAATGATGCACACGCGTGTGTGCATCTGCCCGACACGAACATACCACCAACAGAGAGAGATCAGCGGCTATAATAATTATCCAAATATGAAACGCAAACATGTAATGACAATGTAATAAGTAAATTAGTAATAACTACGAACTTTTATTCTTTGGTATGCATTTTATAAAATTTCACCAAAAACCTATATCCATTTCATATAGTCATTTTTAAGGAGGAGTTGAGAGATTAGCCACCGAGTGTACCCTCAACAGAAGCCCACTCCCAATATATTAAATAACCATAAGCCTATTTACTTGTTTTCTTATAATTGTTTCACAGCAATGAGAGCACACGAGTGAAAAAACTCATTAAATTCCCAACGACACTTAATTGGCATACATGGAGTACGGCAACTATAATATAAATGCATATTATACTACAAACGCGTATCTTAAATTTGTCGGTTGTGTAAAATAAAAAAATGATATAGTTATTTTATTTAAATTGCCGGATTATGAGTAAAACGCAAGTTGTACATTTTATTACAGCCATTATACGACATACACGGTGTTATTATACACGGAACGTAACGATAGCACAATTAAATGTGCTCGAAGTAAGGGGACAGATTAAGGGGTTGGGTAATACAATGTATATGGAACATTTCCTAGCCCCCGACCCAACAAAGTTGCACTAGCGGACCAAACTACATACTATAATATATACAATATACGTATACCTAGTCAAGTGTGTACTTTGTAAACGTATCACACGTTTAATTTAGTTTGGTAATGTTTAAACTACAAACGAATAACGTTCGACAAGGTTACTTATTACTTGTAGTAGCCAATATTTTCCTCACGAGAGTTTAATTTCATGTCATAATTATGAAATAATCTCTAAACCTTTTTACCTCATACACATTTACATATTGATATTGTAAATATTACCAACCTATTTAGATTTTAAAGTCAAACCCAGTGTTTATAAGCTGCTGTACACACGTACCGTTTGCATTAATGTAAATAATAATAATACAATGAGGCACATAGAGTCAAAAAAACATTACTCACAAAACATTTAATTCAATTTCATTTTATTTAAAACATATCATGTATAATATTTAAAAAAAATGTAGCAAATTATATATTTTTTTTTTAATCATTAGAATTTCTGAAGGAATCATTATTATTTCATAAGATAAGAGATTATATTATTGACTGTGCGGTGGTGACTAGTTAACATTTTAACAAATTCGCAGACTCCAGTAAATACTATTTTGTTGCGAAGAAAATGAAACTACGCAATACACATACTAGAAGCCCAAAAAGTAAGGATGGTAACCGGTGGTAATATAATACAAAATGAGCACTAAACGTGCTTTTTTTGGTGAGTCATTTTGTCACTTAGTCAACTTTTTGTCGAAGAACTTATTTGCACTACGTGAGAAGTATCAAAGTTTTTTATTAATAATTATTGAAAACGTAACACACATTTTGAATTCGTTTATTTTACATGGTAAAGTATAGTAATTATCAAGTGTTTACCAAAAGTCGTAACCCATAATACAATGTTATTTACAGAAAAGGTTACATACACAACGATTGGACCAAATTACAACATTATTATACGTAGCATTTTCTTATTATTGAACAGTAATCAAAATTTAATTCACGTAAGTACGTACCACGTTATTGGTGAAGAAGAACTTCTCAAAAATTTACTTGTCAATTCACGAAGGTCAATCCTGAAAAACAAAAATTAAAATTTTATCATCCAGTCTTTTATGCCATCCAATCACGTATGGTATTAAAACGTGTGGTTTTGTTAGTGAACAATTTTCTTAAGGTCAATTTTATTAGGTTATTAAACAGAATAACTGAAACATAATAATAATATTCCCGAGAAATATATTAAACTTTTAAATTTTATTAATTATTAATCATACGCATAATACTCATAAGTATAATAACACTTAACATAACCTAACTTAAATGTGCTGAATAATGATATTATTAATTATATTTCCTTTCTGTAACAGTGTTAAGTGATTTGTACAATTCAAAGTTATATTGTTGTTTAATACAAAAAAATGTCAAAATAAGGTTAATTTTTAACCGAATGTGCGATAACGATCGTAATTTGGTGTCACTGCTCGGGAATAGAAAAAAAAATATTTTTATTTTTATTCCCGTTGAGTTAAGATAATAATATAAATGGAGGAGGACCGACACCGACATTTTGGGGGGAAAATAATAAAAATAAACTAGGGGAAAAAATAACATTTTACTGTACTAAAAACAACAAGTAACGTAGGTGACGGTGTTTCACTAGAATATGGCATGTACGTCATAATATTTATAAATTTTGTTGTATGAAAACTCACACACTCGATTATAGACGACGACGACGATGACGTATAGGAAGTGGTACAATGGTAGGCTATGGTAGTGGCTATGCAGTGACTGAAGTAATAATGGCCGTCGTGTGTGTGTATTTTTGCGCGCGCGCTATGGAAGGTGATTTTATAATAATAATAACAATATTATATTATGAGTGAACAGTTTTCATTTATTCATAAGTACTAGTCGTTGTTTGATGTTTTTATGTTTACATTATATATTATTATGAATCATTTTTAATAATTATTTTTCTCATAGTTTTTCTTCAAATACGCAAACACAAGCATTGTAACAATTATTATTATTGTAACTTTTAGTTCGCATTGACAGTCGCCGTCGTTGGTGCAGTGCGAAGAACAATAATCGGGTAGGTACGTCCGGCGAAATCGCACGGGACCGTGGCTAAAAGAGGAGACAATGCCGCGTGAAGTGTGATAAAAACACGTAAAACGTCGTCCATAATAATTCGCAAACTTAAGTTCCAGAAAACGAAATGAAATAGGTTCGTCTATAACGAGTAAGTAAGAGTAACAAATGCTATAATAATGTGTACCTACATGTACATTCGTAATATTATAATAATTATTGAACATGCTGATTGCTAAATATATTCTTCACTGACTTTCCGAATCATATACCATACCGTACCATACGTTGTGAATACGCTGCTCAATTTATGTTTGCATAAAATATAAGTAATAAGTTTTTTATTCAGAAAATGTATAATTGACGGAATTTGTTTTTATTTTTCGTACAGTCGTTTTAATTAAATTTAATATACGTTCATAATAAAAACTTTGGTAATTATAATAAAAACTTTATGGAACCGCCGTAGTTAAACGTACCAATCTCAAAGTTAATGAAAAAAAACGTAAAGAAGAACTGTTGTTTTCTCTCTATATTGTTTAGTTTCATCCGAACTAACATTACACGTTCGTATTGTAGTGTATACGTATTCTACCGTATATACAATAATATAGTGTATACATCACCATGTTTAATATAGTGCAATTATGTGTATAATATATATTTTTCTGAAAATGAATAAATATCAACAAACGAGAACTTGAATTTATTAGTGAAAAAGGCCTTTAATATTATTATATTCATTCGAACTTGCCGAGAGTTTCATAAAGCCACTAATAAATAATATAATACTCGTAGACAGGTCAAGATTTTTAATTTAATTGGTATTGTCGCATGAAAAGTATTCTCTATGATAGTCAGTCAAATATGAAGTGATTTAAGTATTCAAGTATTTTAATTTCTCAAAAAAAACTTTACAACGTTTCAATGTTGTTTATAAAAAAAAATGTATTTGTTTAAGCACATTTAAAATTTATATTGCTGCTAGGCTCACAATAATACAATATATTTATTTTGAATATCATACAGTACACGTGACACGTGATGAGATTAAAGTTGCACCACATATTATAATTATAATATATTTATGACATTATTTTTATTTACACCCACTTGGTGCTTAAAACCAGTAATAAAATAGACATTTGTTTGTTATAAATAGGTAATATCATATAACATGTTTAAATTGTATTTATTAGGAGCCAAATATATTTTCAATTTTGAATTTAATATTATAATAATAAATCAGAAATAAAAATGGACATATTATAAAATATAATATGTAAAATAATATTATATTGTAAAATAAACGTTTTAGTCAAATTTAAATGTATAATTCAATGGTAATACAAAGTGTATTCTTCAATCACGTTTCTATATCCTATAATTCCCAATAACGAATGGGTACCTAACGACTAACTCCCAAGTAATATTTTGCTTACTGCAGACATTTATCAATACTTATAAGTATTGCTGTAAATTCTAATATTAATTTTTCAACAAGTATAGTTAATATTATAATGATTTAAGGCATGAATATTTATTTGTAATAAAATGAATAATAATATGAAAATTGTGAAGAGATAAGTTGACATTAGTATCGAACGCACAAAATATAATATCAATTCGCTGGAGATTTCTGTAGGTTATAAAAGATTACACAAAAAGGTTACTATTAATTTTATTATGAGCCCATTCCAAAATTAAAATAAACAATCAATAAGTAGTAAGAATGTATTTCGTTTTCAAAAAAAGCGTATTTAATAATAAAATATTCAAAAAATGTCTTAATTTTTTTTTTTTTTTTATTGATCTTAAGCTTCGGCAACTGAGGCCATTAGCTGTAGGTTGTGGTACTGTAGGGTTTTTGGGACTGTTGGGTTACTGTAGGGTTATGGAACACGTGTGTGTTTGTTTGGCAGAATTTCTAGTGGGCACCCGTAGGTTTCTGCCATACCCGGTTGGGGGATGGCGGCCTCTCTCTCAAGACACCGTGACTGCCCGGAGAGAAGTGCCACCCGTGACCGAGATTCGAACCGGCGACGGTGCGCGTTGCGACCGACGCGTTATCCACTCGGCCACTCCGTCCCCCAATGTCTTAATTTATAATACTATTTAGTATATAACTATTTTATAATAGGTATACAATATATAATCTTAATTAATGTAAGTATATTATAAATTATAATACATCATATCATTACGTAAATATAATAAACTAAAATCAAGAAAAAAAATATTTTCTTGTGACTCCACTAACATAAATTATTGTTTTTTTTAAAATTTAAAACGATATAAAGAAAAATTCTTAAGCTAAGAAAATTAAAATTAAAAAGGTGGTACCTAAGTATGAATATATATTTTTATTTGTTAAAAGTTACAACTAACTGATATCTACAGCTTCTACAAAAAAAAATTTTCAATTTTTATTTCAAGGCTTTTTTTTTTGTTTTATCAAGGAGGTAATGATAATCACATAATGCATGAGTGCAAATCAATTCCGAAGGAATTGAATATTGTTCAAAATTGGGTTGTGAAATAAATTAGCAGTACCTACGAACCGGCCTCAAGAGTTTTTCCACCGCTGCCAGCCGAGTAGAAAATCGCAACGAAATAACACAGTACATTGAGTCGATCGGCAATTAAAAATATTTCACAATACTCACTGTTACTGACTGATGATGCGTAACGTGTAGTCGAAGTCTGGCTTTCTTTTATCGAGAAACAATTTTTATTTTAAAGAACGGACAACAAAATTCCATATTAAAGTATAAACAATTTAAGGTTTTTCAGATTTCTGTACATTAGATATTCGCTGTATACTCTAGTGAGCTGCAGCAGCTTTTCGCGTCAACAGAATATTTTTATCGACGTAAAACCTCTATACTAAAGGAACCAAGAGCAGTGGGAACGGCGTCAGTCTATAGTGATAAACGATGAATTTTACTGCACAGAATACCACTGTGCGACATTATAAAAGGCCAAAAAAATATCTTGTATAATAATATCAACTATAGCAGCAAAATATGACGATATCGCATATTATTTTTAGTTGTACCATGTCCAAACAGCTAATCTTCTGTTATAAAAATACAATTTTCAGTAATGATAAGGCTAATGACAGTGTGTTTACCAGTTTCACGATAAGTTTAATTGCCAAACATCAAACACATTAGCATTATCAAATTGATTTGCGAGTTATTATATTACTGATAACATTTTAATTTATAACATATATAGGTACATTATGTATATATTTAGTTTTACTAAACACTTTAACGCGATAACTATATATATATATAGAATATTGCTATTCTTGATAAGAAATATAACGTGTTATACACTATGACTATATGTCTATTTCTTGTAGTTTTGTGGAAATACTATTATGGTTAATAATATTCCCTAAATAAAATATGAATAATGTACATGAATTTGAAGCCTGAATGTACCTATAGTCTATACATTGAGTTAATTTGAATTTTGATTGATCTGACAAGGATAGAACAATTTTAGATTCTATAAACCATGGTGAAGCGAGTAAGGGACAATAAACTTATTACATAGGCGTAACAATAAAGACTATAGGTACTCTAATATTAGTGTAATTAGTACTGATATCAATTTGGCTTTAGAATATTAAGTTTATGGGAGAATAAACATCACGTTCACTGCAGCATATGTAAATAGTTTTAAAAGTAACGAGAATAAAAGCATTTTTTTTACGTATATTTAGGAAATTATCATTCATTGTTTATGAGTACAATTAATACATTTTATTTTAATGGAAGCGGTATCAATGAAAACTTTAACAAAAATATTTTAATAATTCACTATAAATATTTTCAAATAGAATTGAGTTTATTCGTAAGAATATTAAACTGCAGAAAATTTGATTAATTTACAGGGCTTACCACGTATACAATTTTTAATTAATTTAGGATTATAATTGTTACTAGATAGCTATGTTTATTTTAGT